GCTGTAGCCTGACCGCCTGACCACGCTTTACTCAACCGGGGCTTCAAGTATCAAAAGCCCTTGGCTAGTGAGGCTAGTGACATCAAGCTTCACCTAGGTGCAGGTGCTCCTGAAGCAAAGCTTAGCTTTCAATATTTCTACGACGACTTCCTGGTTGGGCAAATGATTTTATTTTGTCGATAGGGTCTGATGAGATTCAGACCGTCGGATCGAATCTCTGCGTCTCAGGCGCTTGATATGGTCAACTCGATAAATCCTTCCGGCTGACGTGTTCGACGCTGGAAAATGCAGACTGGGACGAGACATCTCAGATGATCTGATCACTCTGCTTTACCCTTGCCGTGTGAACCCAACATGCCATGTCTCTTCTTCTTCTCCCTCGCACCTTCCTTTGTATTCTTGGCGCCGAACGTATTAGTCCTGCTGCGCCACGTCGTCACCCTCTCGGGCTTCTGTTCAATGTGGAAGCTAAAGTCGACTTCGCCCACGAGGCTCTTGACCAGTCCAATCATGCGCTCCAGTTCCTCGCTGATCAGGCTGCTGGCGACCTGGCAGACGGCGAAGGCCGCGTAGCACGGTTCGGCGACGTGCTCGATGCGCAGCACGTCGGGGTCGATAATGTGCAGGTCCGGACCGAGAGTGTATGGATGCGGCACTCGGAGGAGGGGCGGGAGAGGCTGGGCGTTGGTGACGCTCGCGGAAAGCAGGCTGAGCACCGATGTGATGTCGTACGTCGTTATGTGCAGGCCTCTCATGAAGAGGCGGAAATTGTGGATCCACGTCTGCTCAGTCCCTGGGAGTGTTTGAGATTCGTTGGAAAGGGTGGGAGACAGACGGTCAGTCGACGGGAGCGCGGACGCCGAGTACAGCGGTGACGATGGAGAGAAGGTGCGCGTGGAGTAAGAGATCAGCGTGATGTAGTTGAAGATGATTTGCATCGACGCGATAATGTCGTGATACGTCTCCTTCGGGAAGCGCCCGCCGATCGTGGGCTCCCATTCACGCGCCAGGACTTGGAGCTTTGAGATCTGGATGCCCGTCTTTGCAAACGCCTTGTTTCGTGCCTTTTCGACTCGGTAGGCCGGACTTTTCTTGATCCGAGGATCCAAGACATCGTCCCGGAGGCGCATCTCGACCGTGCTGTGGACTGTCGCGTAGTATGTCGCCAGGAGGTAGAGCCCTGCCCCAAGATCTCGCCGTAGTTTGCCGTGGGTGGTTACTGGAAAGGGAAAATATGACCAGATAAACGCGACGAACGTTCCAGTCAGGACAGTTGCAAGTCTGTAGGGTGCCAGGAGATATATCGGATAATATGGCTGCCCGTTTGACGCCACCGTCTCTTTCCCCAGCTTCGTAACTTCGAGTTCGTATCCCACGATCAGAAGATTAGTCACGTTGAAGAGAATGGCGCCGACCGAGAACTGTGGATACTTCAAGATGGTGTAGAACCCGAGGAATTCGACGATGAAGAGAACGGGGATGACTCCACCGGCTTTGCCGTCGGCGATGTACCACAGAGTAATCGAGGTGCAACAGGCTGCTATCGTTCCGACGACCCGGCCTAGGAACCCGATCACCGAAGCACCTGTTGTCGGAGCCAGTGAAATGGCAACCAGGATGAGGGCCCATAGTCCACGCTGCTGGAGAAACCAGGTCTGGGTGTCGCGGAGGAAGGCAATGATTGCCACTGTCATGACCGCGCAGACAGCCCGGAATCCAAAAGCGGATTCTTCAGAGGCGAAGAAGTGCGAAGTGCTGCGGATGTGGTCGCCAATGACTTCTAGGTAGCTGGCAGCTGGCAAATGCTCGGGGTCTTTTCGCTTTCTGTAGGCTTCTCCCAGGTGAACAATGGTTCGAGTCCCTTCACGACCTGTGATGGTGGGATCTGCGATGGAGTCCTCCGAAATCCACATATTCCGAATCCATTTTTTCATTCGCCTCTTTCCCGGAAGAATCAACCTGGAGCCCCTTTTGGTGGCTTCCTGGGATTTTGTATCCGCAAAGACCACCAAGTCAAGAACACCTTTCGCAGTGGACCAGGTCAGGAACTCGATGTACAAGACAAGATACATCCGTTGTTGATTCTTCCGATGGTGTCTAAGCCCTGCGAAATGTCCGGTGAGTGTTGGCTGTGGATCTCTTGCAGGGTCTGTCATGAATGCGACGGGTAGATCAACATTGGCCGCTTGACTCCAACCTCGTAACGTGTCAGCACGGGCCGAGTCAAACTCCTTGAGTTTGCGACTTAGGAGAGCTGCCAAATCTGCGTCGTCTGGCCGTGACCTTCCCTTTTCTGCATCTTCTGCCCGCTTCCTTCTTCGTCCAAATCGCAATTGAATGTAGACATGATCCAGCGCAATCTCCAAAGTCTCTGCCAGGGACTCGAAGGAACTCACGAGTGAGTCCATCACCTCGGCCCATGCGATACGCTCCGCCTGCAAATCGTCGAAAGCTAGACCATCTGGATCACCATCGTCGTCTTCTGCACCAACTGCGCGGATGGCCACTTCTTTCAAAATGTCAACCAAGGTCGACATTCCGTTCATGGGTAATAGAATGGATTGGAGCAACTCGCGAATCTTTTTGAGGTCGTACACGTCGAGGTGACCAACGGCAAATTCGGATTTGGCATAGTGTAGTTCGGTGTGCATGCGACCAAAAGTTGCAGAGAGGCTTGCAGTGCTGAGCTTCAGCCGTTGCGCTTCCGGAGAATTCGTGGTCCTAATCTCTTCGGGACTCATGCGCGCCGTAGAAACGTTGGTCTCTTGAACGCAGGTAAAGACCAAATTTTTGCGCCGCATTCGTCGCATGTAAGCACCCTGAGCTTTTAGAGACTCCTTGAGCTTGCCGACAAAATCATCTGTCAGTTTAAAGCAAAGCTTGCGGTGGCTTCGAGGGAAAATGAAGAACGAAACGCCAACTGCGATAGCGAATCCCATCAGAAATGCCCCAATCAGGTGTTTGATCAATATCTCGCCCTGCGACATCTGTGATATTCGCTACGTACTGTCAGCTCACAGTTTCAACAGTCTGGGGTGTCATTACCGTAGCGTTGACCGAGGCTACAATGACAAAAAAGCTCAAGATAGTGCCGGTCACCGAATACTGTGGACGCAGCGCCCGTCCCACATTGATGAGGTAGATGGACACACAGAGCCAGACCCCAATTATCGCGCTAGCCGAGGCGCTGTAGCTGACATTGACGTTGGTGTTGGAAGAATGCTGTTGTGCCCCACCCCCTGAATGCTCCCGGGATTTGACTGCACAATAGATAGACAACAGCATGACAGCTGCAGCGAGGCAGACCCCAAGGATATTCAAGGTCATAGTCTGGACGAATCGTGCTCGAGGCTGGGTCGCAAACGAGAAGAAGGCCATGATAGAAACCAGATATGCGAGGGTCGTATAGATATGTGCGACCGAGTCCGACTGATTCCTGTTGCTTGTTCAGAATCGGGGTCTTTGGGAGTCGAGCATACTCACATTGCTGCGGCAATGGCTGGTGGTAGAGCACCCCTGTCTTCATGTTAGTTTTCGAGCAGCAACCAAATGCGGGTGCAAGCTCACTTTGCCATCATTTTTACCGTCTCCAAATCGAGTTCTAGCCTTAGCCATAGCCTCTTCCAGATTCGGGGTGGTGACTCTGACTCTGCGGTGGTGCTGGAGTCATCATCGGTCTCCCACCCCGGGGAGGACGGATCCTCCGCCTGGCTTTTGTCCTGCATTGCCCTTCCAAGGAAATAGGAATAGAGGAGACGAAATGAATCATCGGAACCTGCGCCCAACCTTCAGGATTGAAAAGTCACCCTTCGACGCGGTCCTCCTGATTCCGTCCCGTCCAACGAGCAACGTCGCTCACCAGGTCCGGCGGGAAAAGCAAGGGTTGATCTCTCACCGCAGTCAATTTCTCGGTCAAAGAGACCCATGTGCACAAGACGGAACAGGCATCCGACGTAAAATTGTGATAAATGTCTTGAGATGTGTAAAGGATCTACATCTGATGTTGTTGTGGAATTCCGGCGTCTTGGTGTTGCTGACAGCGTTACCGAGATAATGTAATGACCGTAATGGCTGTTACGGGTATCCCTCGGAAGCGGATAACCGAAGACTTACTAGGCGGCCCTAGTACTCGGTATACCTTCTAGAACGACATGAGGTAGGAATGGGTCTGCGTAAAGACATGTAATGGCAGCAGAGTGCCAAGGCGCTAACGGTCTGACAGGCGTCGACTTCCCCCAAAATCATTTCGTCCTGCGATTGACTCACTTTGCCCTACCCCAGATCTCCATATCAAGCTGCGTACCACCCTCCCCGCACCCATCGTAACGAACCTGGTGGATTTGACCCGGACGGTGAAACGGGTCACGGTACACAGGCGTTTAAGGTTGGACACATCCCGGTAGTAGATCAGGAACGCTCCAAGACAACCACCCTTGCTACAAGTGCGGCATGAGTCAAAAGCTAAGTGCGACGGGGGGCCGGACGAGGAAGAAGGCTTACCAGTGGTCTGGGATAGTAATTCCCAGTGTCTACGGCGACATGTGAGATCACCATGCCTTCAAACAAGTACTTAAGATTGGATTTGCGGACGGTCAAATCCTGATTCCATCGAGCATTTCTGGTATATCTCGGGCCAAATAAAACATGGGGGGAGTTGCCCTCAAACGTTCTGGACGCTGAACACTCGTCCTTCCTCCGATTGGACTCAATTCGACCGGGCCAACAAAAAAAGACCAAGTCCAAAAGTTGCGTGACACGGTGTATATGCTTTCTTGAGAGCGTTCAAGGTTTTCCGAGGTTACGAGTCGCGTTTCCGGTTGATTGAAGCCCTCAGGCTGAGGTTAGTTCGAGATGGCGGTTACCCGGGGTAGCGAGGTCCGTGGATATAGCCTTGGTATCATCAAAGTCTACAAATATCAAAAGTGAGTAAATCTCAGGAAATATGTTGAGAAGAACCTGCCATTGTTTTTTAACAGCAGCAAGCTGTTACATCGCGACACATGGCCACTCCTCCTGGCGACGTACTCGTCGCGACCGCGGCGGATGCTCCAATCCCATCCTTAACCACAGATGAAAAGGTCCAACTCCCCTTTGATCCGAAGGCTCTGAAAGAGAAATACCTGCAAGAAAGAGACAAACGACTTCAGAATGGTGGTGTCTTCCAGTATCGACCGATCGAGGGAACACTCAAACATTGGATCGAAGACCCATATGTCCCACCCGCCCCGCCACGCGACCCGATCGAGAAGGAAGTAGAAGTTCTCGTTGTCGGAGGTGGCTATGGCGGTGAGCTCTGCGCTGTGCGCCTTCAAGAGCAGGGAATCGGTGACTATATCATCGTCGAGAAAGCAGGTGACTACGGCGGTACATGGTAAGTTTTGAGGCTGCGACAACAATCTGAGAACTGATTGCTCAGGCATTGAAGGTACTGGAACAGATATCCTGGAGCACAGTGCGACATCGACTCGTATATTTATTTGCCACTTCTGGAGGAAACCGGCTATATTCCTGTGGAGAAATACTCTCATGCCACGGAACTACTGGAGCACGCTCAACGTATCGGAAAGCACTATGACCTGTATAAAGATACCTTATTCCAGACAGAGATTGTGGATCTCCGGTGGGATGAATCAACTACCCGATGGCAGATTGAGACGTCTCGTCAAGACAAGATAAAGGCGCGCTTTGTGATTACGGCTTCTGGCCCACTTCACAGGCCGAAACTACCGGGTCTGCCAGGGATCGAAGAGTACACCGGCCACTCCTTCCATTCAAGTCGCTGGGACTACGAGTACACTGGTGGCAATACCCACGGTGGGTTAACCAAGCTTAAAGACAAACGTGTTGGGATACTTGGAACTGGTGCCACGGCCATTCAGATCGTTCCGCATCTTGGCGACTGGGCCAAGGAGCTATATGTATTCCAACGAACGCCATCCTCCGTCGCGGTTCGAGGTAACAGACCTACAGACCCAGAATGGGCCAAAACCCTCAAGAAGGGCTGGCAGCAAGAGCGCATGGATAACTACAACATAATTGTGAGCGGTGGCGAGGTGGACGAAGACCTAGTCTCGGATGGATGGACGAGCAGCATGGCAAAACTTCGTCCTGGTCCTAATCAGGTCAAGAACGCCGACCCTGCAGAAATTGCCAAAATCATCCAGCTGGCTGACTTTGATCAAATGAATTCGATTCGTGCCAGAGTCGATTCGATTGTTAAAGACAAAGCCACCGCAGAAGCTCTCAAGCCGTGGTACAATCAATTCTGCAAACGGCCGACCTTCCATGACCGGTATTTGCAGACGTTTAACAAGCCAAATGTCACACTAGTTGACACCCAGGGTCGCGGTGTGGACCGTATTACTCCAAAGGGGATAGTAGCCAATGGGAAAGAATACGAATTGGACTGCATCATCTATGCCACCGGCTTTGAGCTTGCTACGGACTGGTCGCACCGTTCGGGGCTCGAGATTACGGGCAGAAACGGTCTGACCATCACGGAGAAGTGGCGTGATGGTGCGAAAACCCTTCATGGCTGGACAACGAATGGGTTTCCCAATTGCTACTTCGTCAGCGGCATCCAGGCTGCGTTGACGTCCAACTTCATGCACATCACAAACGAGCAGGCAAAACACATTGCTTGGGTCATTCGACAGGCCAAAGACCGAGGCCTGAGGACCGTCGAAGCGTCGATCGAAGCCGAGGAGAAATGGGTCGACGTCATCATCGAAAAGGGCAGAGGACGCTACGAGTTCTTGAAGCAATGCACCCCGGGGTACTACAACGACGAAGGCGACATTACCATGAAGCTGAGGAGGAACTCGGTCTACGGAGACGGGGCCGTGGCGTTCTTGGACATCACAAAGAAGTGGAGGGAGGACAATGAGCTGGAAGGTCTCCAGGTGACCAAGGAAGCTGCTTAGATTGTCGTCAATTTGAACAAGCAGTAACCGTCACGACTAGGTAAGAATAGAGATATATAAATATATATATATATAGCGAGAGGGACCCTCAACTTGAAATGAGAAAGAGTTCTGTCACAGGTGAGTTGAAGAGGGTTCATCGCTACACAAAACTCCGCTTGATAAGAAGTACGTCGTACCTCTCTTCACAAACCCAGTCGTCATCTGGGAAGTAGTCAAGTCGCCCCTTGCTCGACAGTACCCGTCTGGCCGACAAAGTATCGAAGATGGCCCAATATCATACTTCCTTGTCGCGGGTGGCGTTGTCGGTGGCGCCGGTCCTAGATGTGAAATCGCAAGACAAGAGCTAAGTAGTTGGTCAAAAGCCTCGTTTCTATTTCTATTTCTCCATAATTAAATGGGGCCCAAAGACCTGGGAATGAAAATGGTATAAGAGCACATGTGGCTGGCCACTGTAGCCCAACTAGCTTTAGAGCAATACCCACAAAACGAAGAACAAAGTACTCGGTACGTTGTTTGTTTGCTTGAATTATTCCGACAGGGCTGGCTTTATATTCGAAGAGCTAGCTAGCTATGGCTTAATAAACCCTCCGTGGAATGTTACTTCTTCTTGGCACCTACATTATTCGTTATCGCTGCTTCTACACAGGCACAGGACATCCGAAGCTGACGGCGACGGTTCCTCCGGGTCCAAAAACGGCAATCAACCCTTCGATGGCGGCCCAGGTACCCATTCCACAGCAGGCCAGACCGAGGAGAACGTAGATGAAAGCGATTGTGCTGCGGAACCACGTCTTCTTGTACCCCCTGATCCAGCGCTTGATGCCGTCGTCGTGTCGGATCGTCTCGCGGGTGGCTGGGTTGAAGCCCTCGCCGGGAAGCTCGGCGGCCTTGTGGATGATGCTGCTCAGGTACATCATGCCGGGGAAGGTGTAGGTGAAGTTCATCATGAAGACGGCGCCGACGAAGCTGGTGATGCCGTTGAGGTTGGGCACCGCGCCCGCGACGATGAAGGCGAGAATCCAGTAGCAGGGTCCCAGGAGGTACCACAGGATCTTGCCCTTCTTCTCCACAATCGAGGGGAACTTGAAGATGGCTTGGAAAACCTCGAGGTACACCGTCTTCATGCCGATGTTGAAGTACATGATGATGGCGATCCAGCCGGAGAGCAGCCGGAGGACGTTACCGGCGGTCTGCAGGCCGTACGGGTTGACGACGTTCACGATGTTGTTGGCAGAGTATTGGCCGTAGAAGGAGTAGACGAAGACACCGAAGAACATGTAGACGATGCAGATGAAGGCTTGGGCCAGCAGCATGCCTTTCCAGAAGTCGAGCGGGTGTCTCATCTCGGCGAGGAACGCGACGAAGAGGAGAGCGCCGGCGTACGCGTACACCATGGTGTTGACAGCGTTGAATGTAGCCGCAAAGCCTGGAGATTGCTGCTGGTACTGATCCGGTGGAATGCCGGCAAAGACCTTGATGGGCTCGATGGTTTGGATAAGCGTGGATCTCGTGATTGCAGGGTAGTATGGCGCAAAGTGTGCAGCCGCGACCATGCTATTGTAATGCTGGTCAGTAAGTGATGTTACCGGACGGGAAGAAGCAAGACTAACCAGATGATGAAGTTCACAATGTTCATCCACACAGCGGCATTCGAAATCCAACCAATTTTCCGCAGGCTTCGGATAAAGCCTCCGAGCATGCCGACCGCCATGATGACAACCATCATAGCCACAAAGCAAACCTTTGAGTGAGCGATCTGCTCAATGTTCAAAGCCTTGCTGAAGATCAAGATGGCCACGGTGCAGAATTGTTGGAGTGATTGGGCGATGTTGATGAAATGACGCATGGGCTTGCCGAAGAGGCGCAAAAACGGATCACCAAAGCTCTGCATGGGATACCGGGACGAGTCGAGATCGAGGAAAGTCTTCCAAATAACCCAGCCGCCCCAGGCAGCGAAAATACCGAAGATGAGATAGAGTGCGACTCCAGTGCCGTAGCCCACGCTAGCAAAGACGAATCTACACAATTGGTCAGTTGCGATCTATGTCAAATCGAGTCTCGGGGAGTACTTACGGAGCACCTGACCAACCAAGAATATCAGTGGTAATGAGAAAGAACATCTGGCCCCAGCTCGCCGTTCGCAGCGCACGAGCAGCGTTACGCCATTCCGCGTCAGTAACTTTCAGCGAATCGTTACGCGTGGGATTGTCGACATCAGTGACGACCCCAGCTGGTTGCTTCTCGTGGAGTTGGGCTATAGTCTGAAGCCTGGCCTCCTTTTCCGCCTTGGCCTTCTTTCGACCCGATTTGGAAAAGGCGTTCTTGATCGAGCCAGCAAGAGGAGAGCCGTGTTCGGCCTGGAACACTTTGTTCTCTTCAATCTCCATCTCACGCTCGATCTTGGCCCAATAGACGTATTCTTCGTACGTCACGGTGCTGTCAGTACGAGCAGCGAAACCCCACGTGCGCTCCATGACCGCCGGCTTCTCGTTGAGCGAGACGGATGGCTTGCGCATCTGCTGCTCGGTCACAGCATCCAGCTCCGGGGCTGGATGTGTGACTGGGGCAATATGCTCCATGGCTGTGACAGGCAGGTGGAGTGAGTGAGTGAGCGAAAGACAGAGACGAGGTCGTGGAGTAAGAAAGTAAGGCCATTGAAGGAACAGGAGCAACTAATAAATGGCCTCACGGACGGGATTGTCTGATAGTACGAGTATCCCTCCTCGGTCCTTCCGATGTAACCTGAACTGAACACACGAGCATCCGGGTAGTGGCGAGATAACCATTGGTAGCCGCTCGAAATTGCGCACGCGGTGTTAGCCATATCTCGTGTTGCTCTTGATAAGATGAAGCACTCCTTGGGTGGTACAAGCACTACAACAAGCTCTGCAGCGATTGGTAGGGTGACCAATGAGGGGCCTGACGGCGGGCGGTCGAGGCTCTCGGTTACTGCCATTTCGAGCGAACAAACAAGGCAGGTAACCGGTGTCAAGGTCGCAGCGTTCCATCGCAGCTCACTGACCCAGCGGTACCCGGCTCATGATTCGACAGATAGCAAAGGATCTGCGTTATAGACTGGATTGACCCCGGACGCACTAAAGGCGAATCATTCCCCAGCTGGAAGGTGACAAGCTTTCCAAGACGCCAAGCTTCCTTCGATTCGGCGTCGAACGTCGACGCAATGCTTGGCAAATCTTGGCAATGGCAAATCAGACCTCGCCTGTTGGAAATGTAGCATTCGATAATAATAATAAATGGGGGCGGCCAGTGCCACGGCAGCCAAGCTTTAACGCGATATCAGTCTATTATTGACCTGCTCGTACCTTCTCCACCCCCATGCGCAGACGTGGATGCCCCAGCATAGGGAACCACTGAATCCATATCCTTGCTTCGGTCTAAGGAGAACGGAGCATGTAAGACACTGGGATGATCGATGTAACACATCCCTCCCTCGGATTTGAGCCGGAAACATGCGAGTGGGCCCAATCACCCCATCGTAATGGTGTTATCCTGTATACATTGTAGAGTCCTGATAGCGGTTGGCGTAGATCGCTGGCCAAGGCCACTATCAAATGATAAGGATAGAGAGAATTGCACGACGATGGGAGGGGATCGGCGGTAATGGCATAAGGACCAGCCATCTCGCTAGAAACCTGTTGTCGTTGTGTCTAGTAGAGTACGAGATACGGAACAAGGTAGAAAGGGGGAGGCAAGGAGGGTACTCGCGATAGAGTGGCGGAGTGGGGGGAGATTGGAAGCCTAAATATCATTTTGCCATGCCAAGCCGGCGCACGTTCCTATTTGAGCTGCACATGTGACATGGCTCGGCATCTTTCTAACCGTCAACCCTGGCCGTGGGACAGATCGCTGATGAGATTGACTTGTGTGGATATCATCTGGAGGCGAGACTCCGCGCACAGAGATACATCGATTACTCGCGAGTCGCATGTCGGCGTCGTCCGGGGAGATTTCTGGGTAATGTGGACCTCATCTACCAAATACCCGACTCCATTGTACACTACAGGAACGAGGAAAGAGGTCAGTCTGTTATGGGGCCTTATGGATCCCTTGGTAAGGATCATTCCCCCCAGAAGGGGTCGCTTGTGTGTTATTGCCTCTCATCTATGGACCAGACACAGGGTACTTCCTTACATTCCAACCGACGGATCGCTACGCCGCACGAGGAATTTCCTGCTGATCGGGGTGCTTCGCATGCAGAATCTCCACCGGCGCATCGACATGATAGTTCATTGTCTCTTTCAAGTCGCCGAGGAACAGGGTGCAAACCAAGCCCAAGATGCCAAACGGTGCGGCGATGATGAAAACCACCCTCAATGAATCCGCAAAGGCCTGCTTGACGGCAGCGACACCTAACCTGACGATCCCCGGGGTCACCCCAGGGACTTGCAATAGGGCGGTCTGGTTATTTGTAGCAAGGGCTTCCACGAAAAGAGGGATCGATGTGGAAGGGAGACCACCCGCAGCCGCCGCTCTGCCTACATCGCGAGGCAGATTCGTCGTCAATTTATCGTTGAAGGCGGCCGAGAAGATTGCCGTGAATGCAGTGCCAGAAAGGGCGCGGGCGGAGACAATCACGGCCGAGGCGCTTGCGATGAGGCGATGAGGAACGGCAAGTTGGACACCAGCAACAATCAGGATCAACGGAGCACCAAAGCCTAGACCAGCCATGCCTGCGAACATCAGAGCATTCAGCGAATCCCCGGGTTGGATGGTGGCCAGACCAATCATGGCACCGGTATATATCGTCAACCCGACGAACATCGGCCGTCGGATGTCCTTGAACCTCGTGCTCACGAAACCGTAAACGGCAGATGAGAAGATACCCACCACCCAGAATGGCTGGATGTAGGCGACTGCCAAGAATGGATCCGTCTCGAAAAGCGATGTCACCCTTTTTGATGCCCCATGTTAGTTTGGAAAGTCAATCTATGTTTTCCCAGGTAGGATCGCTTACAAAGGAGGATAGAAGATGCTGT